TGAGACCTCCGGAGGTCTTTTCAGGCCCCTCAGGCCCCAATCGGGTCCTAAGTCGTAGGTTCCGAGGGACACAAAGGGCCCTTCGGAACATATGGAGGGGAGAGGCACGTGCCCCTGTGCCCCCTGCCTGCCACTACTGCTCCCCCTTAGAAGCCAGTTGCCGCCTACCCAACACCTGTGCAACTTCTGTCCCGCAAAATGCTGTTTCTCGATAGCCGTGCCGTGCTGCCCATTTATAGCAGCGAACGTGCAACTTTCGGCCCTAAGGAGGGCATCGCTCGCCGTCGTCGTCAAACTCGTGTCCCCGCCTTAACGCTTGTATCGACATTTGCTTCTCTCGTGGAAAGAGAGGAGCTGCAGGTGCTGCTGAGAACCGCTTCTGCCTTCCATCCCCAGCTGGTGGACAGCCCCACGACCGCCTCCCAGCACCAACACATGTATGCACGTATTTACAGATGCGTATTGAAACGTCCAGAGTTTCATAAAGTCCCAGTGGCGAAAAAGTCCAGAAATCGCAGCATGCAGCGCCCATAACGTCCAGAAATCGTCCAAAACCCCTGGACAAAGGAGAACATAAAGTCTAGGTTCTCAGCGTCCAGTGTTCATAAAGTCCAGTGTTCATAAAGTCCAGCGCGCGTGAGACCCACGGGTTTTGTGCTCTTCCACTTCCTCCCAACCCTTCACCTAATGGTTCGGTATTGCCCGATAGAGGGTTACCGGAGCTGATTTCGCCCGCCTCAGCCGACGAGTGACGTCATGCGGCACAGTGTAGCCCAGTTAAGCTGCTGTGCATGGATATGGACAACGTTTTGTTTGAGCGCACCAACTTTGCCGCGTCAGCACGCCCTTGGCAGCAGGGGAATTAAATAATTCAAAACTTTGATCCCTGGCTCATGGGATCGGAAATAAGCTGGCTACTCGGCACTAGCCTGCACGGTTCTCGTGGAAAGCACTTGCCGAGGTGCCTGCTGTTTGGTATTGTGGGCTGTGGATGAAATTATCCGCGGTATTTGGTTCCGTTATTTACTGTATGTGTTGGTGATGTTTCTCATTTTTTGAAGGAATTGATGACTGATATGTAGGGGCAGACTGATTTGATGTCTGCTCCAGGTAGACGCGCATATAGATCTCCAACTCCCGGCACGCTAACCTACATTGTTGTGATTTTGTTTGGCTGATTCTCCTTCCTCCCCCAATTGCAAATTCTTTCACACGCTGCTGCAAGGGGGACTTATTCTGAATTCTACATGCCCTTACTCTCAAAGAGAGGGGGTGGGGGCTGTCTCATCAGCTGAATCCGGATATACTTACTCCCTGGCGAGGTACGTCTCATGGCCCAGCCTACAAACAATTCGTCTCTTCAATCAGGTACGTTTTAAACGGGCGTAGTTTACCAAAATAAGTCGGGCCGGTTGAGCGATGAAAATGCAACGTAGAGTACCGTGATAATACGTCAACAAATTGGTTTCTCTCTGAATTTGGCTCGCTTTTTCACAAATATGCAGGCTGCAACCCAAGTTACGGCGCGGGATGAAACCCATGCAACTGAATAGGGAACCGCACTCCCGGCTGCAAGTAAAAAAGTAAACGTTGACTGCGAATGTATTCAACTGCCTCCAAACGTTACGCAAAACACTGCGCACGCGCTGCGCTTAAAGACACTGTTGATTCATCATCTGAACAGCGGAGCCGCGTGTATGTCATTGAGCTGGTTTGCGATATATCAGCTGAATGGACTGGGAGAATCGTGAGCTTGTATTCGCCCACCCACTTCATCAATCTCGACGCCTTTTTCCTGTTACGCTTCAGAACCATCCTAACATAGAATTTGGGTCCAGCAACACCAGTCTGGAGTTTATCGAGACGGGTGCAGTTTCGCGCCGCAGAGGAGCGATGATGACATGGTGGTTAGTGGTTGGGGTGCTCATCTCTGGACTTTTCTCTCCTGGGATGGAGTCCTGGCCACACCACTACCGCATCCCACGTACCTGATGTCCGATAAACGCGTGTAAAAGAGGTGTTCCGCCTCGAAATAGCTATAGCAGCCGGTGAGATGTAAGCCTCAATCGGTATTACAGCCCGTCCCGACAAACAAACCGCCGCCCATCAAATTTGCAGACAATGCTTCCGCTCAATCACTGCATATATGTGGGAATAAAAATGTGCAATCTGTTGGACGCGGAGCTCGGACACACACACCAGCCAGAGGCTGCCCAGCTCGACGGCCGGCCGGCAGCTACGCCAGCGGCGGGCCGACGGACGAGGCAGCCCGGCCGCCAAATAAAGAACGCGTTCACGCGCGCACCGTCTCTCGTCCGAGAACGGAACTCCGCCACAAGCGCGCGTGGCCTGTGCGTGGGGAAGCCCCGTCCGCGGTCGAAACACTTGCCGCCATCTTCACGTCAGAACCCGAGGCCCCTGACTCGGTTTCACTCGGTTCGTCCTGGTACACATCCCGGCGGACCCGAACATCCGGACATGTCGGACATCACGGGATCTGGCTCGTGCTGGACCGGAGCCCCCCTCCTTCTTCTTGACAGGCCGCCTTAATGAGTGAGCCTCGTGTCAGTCAGGAACCGGCACCGGACAGCGTCCCTCTGCCCGTTTTCTCTAGGCCCCAAATGCGCCGAACCGGGATCCCTGTGCTATTTATTAACCCGCTACGCTTGGAACCTTTTTGGGTCGGGGAGTGGCCCCACGTTGATCTGGGGTCAACGATCCCGGTCACAGGTCCTTCGGCGTCAGAGAAGGGACCAATGTATCGTATGCATTAATAGTAACTGATGGGAAATCTGAAAGGGGCCAGAAAAGTCCTTCAGCCTCAATCAGGAAATGCATGGTCTCAAATCTTTTCTGAAAATTCTATTGGGGTCTGACTGTTGAGGGGGGGGGGGGGGGGGGAGAAGGGCGAGGGATCCAGGAACCCAGGAAGGGAGGAGCTCTTTTTGGAAACGTGAAGTCCAAAAAATGACTATGCTAAATGAGAAGAGCAAAACATATTGCCAGACAGAAAGTCTCATGATACGTAGCAGCGTCTAGCAGCCAAGGAAACCTCTTTGATGAACTCGTAGACCCCCTCTGGCCGTGCAGTCGGGACTTCCTGGTCGCCAGGGGTACACGGATATTTCAGGACCCTTACAACTACTTAAACCTCTGTTGCCCTTCAAACTATGGACACTAAGGGAACTGGAAAAACTACTAGGATACCCTGGTCGCTCAGGGGTCGCATTCACCGCTCAGGTAACTCCAGTAGCGCACGCAGGAAACGTACAGGGGCCCTTCCCCGCCCCATCCCGCCCAAGGGCTCCGGGGACAGACAATCAAAGACCCGATTCGTGGCTCTGAAGGGCCCGAAGGACTCGGTGGAGATCGTATTAGGAATCCCGGCCCTGCGGCTCGGATCCCGCATGACCGGTATTATTTGCGCGTAAGCGGTCTTACAAAAACTGATGTATGTAGGTATAAGATCCATGTAAGAACAAGCACGAGATAAATTACGTAAGTTGTTCAGTGCGTTAGCGAGGAACACTGTTCACATAAGTAAGGACAATAGTAGTATTAGCCTTGAATTGCCTTATGTGAATATATAGCCTTGAGTCATCGGCAGTGCATTCAAAATTCACTGTCGATGATCCTACTCGATTTTTCAGGGTTATTTTTTGAAACAGCAAGCCACAGTTTTTACAAGACACCAACATTCAGGGGATTAAACAAAGAGCGATTGTCAGCCATAACAACGATACAGTGCTTATCTAAGAATTAGAATGTGCGAACATACGTGTACATGCAAACGCAGTTAAGCAAATGGGCATCACGCATCACGCTTCATTCAAACAAGCAAGCAAGTTGAAGTAAACAGGCATCACACATCGCCCATCAATTGTACATGCAAGCGATTTCCAACTGAACAGGCATCGCACATCACGCGTCAGGCTTCACTTACACATGTAACGATTTTAAGCTAGCACACATCACACATAAAGACACGCATCACACTCGCATAATCGGCCATGATGAGCCCCATCGGTTAAGATTTGGTCGCCGACTTTTTATAAAATTGTATTCACTTAGTTTCCTGAGTGGTCCTGTGCCCTGCAGGTGACTACAGAGCACATCCATCTACAGATCACGGAACCACCCAGACAGGAAAATAAGTGAATGCATTTTTTTTCGGCACCACCTGCAATGGTAAAAGAACGCAGCTAAAAAACCAATACACGTGGGCCACATATTCCAGATGAAGCTCAAACTTTACCCTGATATCGTCCACACAGCGTCAGGGATGTCAAAAACAATACCACTGTCCAGTCAATGGCGTCATGGGCTAATCCAAGTTTAACTATGCCCGATTGCTGTCTAGGTCACTCATGATATCTTTTAACTTAAGTGGTTAGTAACGGGGGCATTTTACATCGCTTTTCTCCTAACCGTTAATTGAATGCACAAAATATTCGCAAAAGCTATATTGCCCTGGGGTGGATCCAGGATTTCATCAAGGGGGGGCACACAACCTTGTGGGCGCCCTAAAGACTTGGGCCAACTCCAAAAAATCCCTGCATTACGGCTTTTAGATTCTAAGGTTCTAAGTAGATCACTTTTTATACGTGAGCCCGCCTAACTGTGCGCCGCCCTAAAAAGTCGTGTACGTATGAACATACATCGAGCATGCTCATTTTTTCCAGATCATGGTGAATCCTGTGATTTTAGGGACAAGTATTTCAAAAAAAGAGGAATAGTCTAACGTTTGCCGCTAATTACACAAAATTAAGCACGAAATTGAGTCCTGGCTTATTTACAGCTAGCCGGCTGGTTGATGTGATTAGCTGATGGCTGATGACAAATGCAGAGTTTTACTTAAGCTGTTATGAATTAATACAAAATAGTCTAGCACTCATATTGCATTAAAAAATGTGATGTACGGGTAAAACTAGGTGTCACAACTTGACAAGCATCAAAATGAAACGATACGACGTTGGCGGCACGCAAATTTATGGTCGACAATGGCGCGTAAACATTCATCGGCGCACTACCAACTGTTGCGCTAAGGCTAAGACACCAAGACCAGCGTCGTGGGCCCCTGAACGATCGGCATTGCCCCGGCCAGCTGACATATGGGGCCCCAACCAGAGCATGGGACCTCTGAGCAAAGGGAACGTTTCTGAGGCCAGTGTACACAAATAAATGCTCAACAGATCAAAAGTGCCCGGACAGATGAACAGAGAGGGTCCCAATAGGTACGAAGAGTCCTGCTCTAATGAGATCAAGAAATAGCCCTAGATTAATGTGCAGGGCCCCTGGACATCAAGTGACTAGGTGCTTTACCTTTTATGGGCCCCAACAACAGGACAACGCCCTCCGAGCAAGTGGAGAGAACCGGAGACGAATATTTAAGGGCTCTGAATAACTGAGTGTACCCCACATTTGGTGTACCCCAAGAAAAGCGTATAGAGGCTTTTGGGCAAATGGGAAGAATATGTGGACGGTCCCTGATCGATCAAGAGTACCCAGGCATGTCATCAAATAGTGCCCCAACAGCATAGGCGTAGGGAAGTTTCAAAAAGTGTGGGGGGGGGGGCAATCTCAAGGTGTACTTCAGAAACTTTTCGGGAAGCAAGCCCGATGACCGGGGGGGGGGGGGGGCTAGAGATGGAGTTTGCTATCGCTCTTTATTCAAATGTCATGGCTGCTCTGCTAGATATACATCTAAAGCTGTTTCTTACTGGTGCACAATCTTGCCCATTGAACTCATTTATGTCATTCGGCAAATAAGGCTATCCAGCTCCCCATAAATATTCCTCCATTTTAACGTTGCCTTTTCTGGGGAGGCGAAACTCCACGAGCGGATTTTTTTTTGTCATTTTGGGTCGTTTATGAGGCATCTGCCTCCACAGGGTAGATGCCAAAATACGGCATGGACATAGGCTGGTGAGAATTTCGAAAGCGATTCGATGGCTCACGCACCGGCATATTTTTCATACGCTTTGGTTTCTCTTGCTTCTCTTCAAAAGATAAGACTTGTCGCAGTATTTTCGGAGGAGACAAATTCGAAACCTTGAAATTGCCAAAAACAATGTGACAAAACCGTGAAACTGGAGATTCTCTTTTAAAAACCAAGGCACGTAATGAAGGCCCCTCTGTCATATGTTTCTTATTTGTGCCCTAATCCCGTCCGTCGTCGACGGCCACTGGCCTGGCCCGACTGTCTCCCGCATGACCGACAATAATTTTTGTTGTCGGTTCTTTTGTCATTAAGGACATCGTGAAGGTAAATTAGATTGATACGTCTGATCCAAATTTGAAGATGAAAATTTGATTGCAGATCGAGTGAACTGATCGCATGGCTGCTTTTTTACATATTTCTGGATCAGTATCACTACTAATTGTGCAAAACATTTGTTGGACACCTGCAACAGCACCTTTTTCCAAATTATCTTCTCTCACATCACACCACAGCAGAAAAATAGCCTCCGGGAAGCTGGCTACCTTAGGTATGAATTGGCCCACGGACATTTCTTTACCCATCAGTCAACGCATACAGTTTTCTAAACCGATAGCATTCAGAAGCTTTGTCAGAATTTTTATCTCGGTTCTTCTGACATTTAGGACATCGCAAAGGTAAATTAGATCGATATGTCTGATGAAAATTTGAGGATGAAAATTTGATTGCAGATCGAGTGGTCAACAATGTGTATTAACATGGCAAAGCCTTGCTCGTCTGGAAGTGTTTACTTTTCAGTCAGAATCGATTAATGAAACAATGTATGTGACGTGGTTTTTTAACATGCGCAGCCGCAAATCTCAATAAAAACCTCCATACCAGGCGTTGCAGTCTCCACAGTCCGCGGAGCGTTCGCCCGGTGGCCAACTTTAGCCTTGGTCTACCGGTGTGCGAAAATGATGATGCTTCTGAAATAATAGGCTTTAAACACATTAACCTATCAGTAATACAAGTAATGTGACGTAATGTTGAGCATGCTCACCCGAAAATCTTAGAAACAAAGGCCTCGACCCCAGGCGTTGCAGTCTCCGAAGGCCGCGCATCGCGGTCCAGCAGCTAATACTGAGCCGTGGCCAACGTGTGGACGAAAATGATCATGCTTCTGAACGCAATATCTTTGAGCCCTTCATCACATCAAATTTTACATTAGAGGGCAGTCTGGGCTCATATTCCACGTGTGATTTTTAGACTGATCATAACGACGGATTGGTCCTTAAAGTACTGCGCAG